ATAGCAAATATTTCACACACATATATATTTCGTACATAAATCAATACTGGTATTAAAATCACGTTCATAAAAAGGACTATACATCTGATACCTTATCGAATGAACACATAGTTAAAAAATACATAATCTGTACTCCCGGATCTAAAATTTACCTCATTACCTAAGGCATATTCCCGGATCTAAAACTAACCTCCTGATCTAATTCATACTCTCGGATCTAAAACAAGTTTATCTCTTTACCCTTTTTATCCCATACCAACAATCTCATCTACCCATGTTCTACCCAACATATTTGTAGATATAAAATACATATATACAGTTTAACTCACTAAAACCTATATAATTCATCCATTCCACAATTATCTCAAATAAACAACAATATATACACACATAACACGTATTTCATAGCAAATACTTAATATTTATGTGTAACAAGAAAGTAACTATACACTCACTTGATCAGAAGATGATCGGACAACACTATTGTTTGTAGAAGTAGTATTCTTCGGTGAAACTGTGATCTCTTCACACACTGGGCTTCTCGCGGGCAGAGCTTCGGCTCGGAAACTCTTTTCTTCTCGGGATCTTCGGGCTTCGGGACTTGCTTCGTGTCTCGGGATGATATCGGGGCTTTGGGGGTTAAAATAGGGCGTAGATAGGGTATCGTGAGTGGGACAGAAGAGATTAAGCAACCAAACTTGGCTGCCCCTTGAATTCTATTTATAGGGCTGATTTTATGGATTCACATCGTGAATCTCAAATATTCACGTCGTGAGTTCAGTCCTCACTTCATGCGTCATCGCAAGTTGCATCTGTCAGGCTCCAGAAGTCATAAATACTGAGTTCACGTCGTGAACTCTGACAGTTTTGGGGTTTTGTGCCTCGAACTTCAAAAATTCATAACTTTCGCATACCAACTCCGTTTTCAACGTTCATTATATCCAAGCGTAGGTATAAACAAGATCTACAACTTTCATTTAGACTTCTTCGGCTAATTTTGATGTTAATTTGAATATATTATTAATATACTATTTTTAGTAGGCCGGGACAGGAAAAGTCCGTTCGAAATCCATAACTCCTTCATCTGAACTCTGTTTTCGTCTGTCTTTTTATCGTTGGAATACTACTGATGAAATCTTCAATTCTCATTTAGAAAGTTTTGGCTAAGTATCAATCGACCTAATCTCGAGTTTCGGGCTGCATACTACTAATGCTAAAACTTCGAAAAATCATAACTTCCTCATACGAAGTCAAATTTAGACGTTCTTTTTATGAACGCTCTCGGTTTAATGTATTCTATGACTTTCATTTAGATCGCTAAGGCTAAATATCGGTCTAACATATTCTAAAACTTAGTTAAGATTACCCCTTCTAACTAATCTTCCATCAAAAAGTCATTTTTGATGCTTATCATCTCTAAATTGAATAGCCTAGATCTACGGCGTTACAAATATTCTTGTCTATACCTGTCATATCCTCATGCTTCCAGGCGAATGTTTGGCATCTATCTTTTAGGAACCTTATTAATTCGTGTTCAAATTGTTCTGGCAGTGAGGTTCCTATGAGGATTTTGGCTTCATGATCCTTGAGGTTTCATGGAACTTCTTTTATATCTTGCTCTCTTATCTCCATCATACCCCGTTCCCCTTACATCAATTGCTATCCTTTTGTGGTACTGTTGAGGATTTCATCGAACTTTTATAGCATTCCTTGGATTCTTGTTCGTCACATGTGATCTTTTATTGTCCCCCATGAGGTGGGATTTTTGACACATTGGTGGTATGTTTAGGGGACAGCCTTCATATCGTGGATCCATGGTCAACCTAGTATAACATTGTAAAAGGATAATGTATCGATTACACAAAATCATTTTATAGAGTTTACCTCCTCTATGTAAATATGTAACTTTATTTCACTGACTGTATTTTTGTTTTGCCACTGAATCCAATCAATACTGAGGATCTTTTGACTATTTCGGCTTCAGGAATGTCCATCCCCTTCAAAGCATCCACAAGTATGATGTTGACTAAGGATTCTCCATCAACAACAATCCTTTTGACAAAATTATTGGTGATGTAAAGAGTGGTCACCAATCCATCATGATGAGGATCCTGGATGTCTATTCTATCTGTTTCATCGAAGGTATTCTCCTTCTCATTTGTGATCAATGTATTCTTCTGTGGCCTTTCTGCTTTCTCCTTCTTCGAAACTTTAGCATGTCTTTTCATTGCAGATTAAGAGGTGCCACAAATTTTAGATTCTCTATAGATTACATTGATTACCTTCGCATCTACAGGAGGGGATCCTGGTCTTTCTAGTGTCATATGAGGATCCTGACCCTTTTCTTTAAATCTTTCTTTTCTTCTACCAAGGATCTCTTTGAGATATCTCATGCTAAGTATGTAACTAATCTCCTTTCGTAGGGTTATGCAATCTTTAGTGATTTGACCAAAGTCTTCATGGTATGCACACCATTTGGACTTATCTTTCCAGGTGGTCGACATTTCCCCCGTTCTTGGCTATCTTTGATTGTCGCCAAGACCCTGCATGGCAAATATCAAGCCTGAAACATCCACAAAAAATAGTAGTTAGTGATCTTAGGTAATTCTTCTCCCCCCCCCCCCTTCATCCTTAAGGGCATTAACCCAATTATTATTGGGTCTGTAATAAGGTTTAGATTTATAGGATCTTTGGGCCGAAGATTCTACCTTCTTATTGGGGTTATCATATGAGCTTTGAGGGTTGCTCCTATTCTGGATATCCTTGTCTTCTTCGAGCCTTATGATCCTTAGTGCTCTGCTCCTTACTTCATCAATTCTTTTGCATGGAGTCATCGCGAGGTCATCTTAGAAAGGAGATTCTTTCTTTAGTCCCATTTTGAAGACTTCCACGGTAGTTGCCATGCCAATGTTGGGGATACTCAGAGCTTCCCTACCAAACTTATCCACAAAATCCCTGAGGGGTTCCTTAGGATCCTGAACCACCCGATAGAGACCACTAGTGATATTTTCGAATGTTCTGCTACAAGAAAATTATTTGTTAAAAATATTAAATAATGTGCAAAAGAGTAATAGAGTAAGTAGGAACATTTAGTAGCTATTTTAAGGTTGATCATGTGAGGGTAGAATCAAAACCCTTACACATGAAAGCTTCCTTCAAGTATGTGGGAATGGGGATGATCTTCAGTTTTTCCTTGAATTGTGCTACATGTCTGTGGTCCCGTCTTAAGGCCTCAAGTCGGGAATTTGGAAGCACTTTGGGACCCCAGTATCAACGACTGTAGGAGCTAATCTCGAGATCCTACGACTTGTTGGGGAGACTTCCAGTATAGGTTGGACTACTCCAAGTACACTTCAGATCATCTTTGGCCATGAGCGGGCTCATCCCTGCATCCACATCCATAAAGTTAGTAGTAAAGATATTATTATTGACAAAGTTACCAAGATCCTTTTTATTGGGAGTAATGAGGGTTTTGCTTGGATCCTGGGTTGTATGTGCTTGCTCTATTTGAGTTTCGCCCCCAGCGGGAACAAATGTTGGTATTGAGGATCCTATCTCATGGCAGTTCACTGAGGATCTCGTGTTGTCAAAGTTTAGGATCTTGAGCTTTAAGATCGAGGGTGCTGCTTCTTGAGGATTGTGGACCTATGTCCTCATTCTCTCCACTTCCTTGAGTATTGTCCTGTTATCCTCCTACCATTGAGTGACTTGTCATTCCACTCTCTTCATCATAGCAAAGATTTTATTATTGGAAATCAGCATAGGAGGATCCTGAAATCCTTCGGTTGCGACTGGAGAGGTGTTTTTCTTTGGTTGCTCAGCCACTTTCTTGGGGAGCTCTCCGTGGGGGTGAAGTAAGGTTTTTATAGGAAATGGGAGGAATGGAGGAAGAAGATAAGTTCGATTGGGTAGACATGATTCTTGAACGATTATGAACACCACAGACCCAAGGTGGGCGCTAGATTGTTTTGGTCAAAAATCAATCAAATGTAATTAGAGCAAATTGTATGAGAGGTTGTGGTGTTAGAGTAATGTAAGTATCAAATGGTAATCAAGTGAGACAATTGAGTTACAAGGAAAGCCTTGGATTCTTTGAAGGATCTCCGGTATAAAACCTTGGGAGGTGATAATAATCACCTCCTTGATATGTTTTATTGATTTTAAGTTGAGGTTACAAAGATTGTGAAAGTAATACAAGTACAAGAGTAATGCTAGGGCTAATCATGTATGTTTTGTGCTAGATACATGTGTTATTTATAGTCTAGTGTAACTAACAAGAAGTCCGATAATTCCGAGATCCTCCAGAATTAATCAGCATATCAACGTTATTTGACTTGGTATTTTGGGTCTTTTGCCTGGTTGAGATGACTCTCCATTGAGAATGGGTCTTGTGTTGACTATTTTTGCACATATGAGAAAAATAAAGAAAATATAGTTGTTACAAATGTTAAAAATATTAATGGTAATAGTCAGGATCCTGGGATATGTTTAAGGATCTAGAGGCTTCAAAAATATTTAATGATCATAAATATGATTCAAGGATCCTACCCATAACTATTCTTGAAGTAAAGATAAATGACAACAGAATTGTACCAGTTCATAAGGCCACCTCTCTTAAAGCAATTAGAATTTCAGAAAACCCCAAAGGTTTTCAAGTGTAAAAACCATCATCTAGAGAATTTTAATCATTCTTGAACCAAATACGCTATAATGGCGAGCTCAACGCAATGGAGTTCAAGAAATAGTCAATCCTAGCCTTTGGAGTATCTGGATGCACCTCATTCTTAGAGGTCTGTATGGAAAACATGGTGATACTGACACCATGAGCAAAGATTGGTTATACGTGGTGTACAACATCTTCACCAGAAAAGAAAATGACATTTATCTACCGAAGGTGTTGCGGAAAGATTTCAGGAAATTTTACATCAAGAGAAAACCCGAATGAGATCCCAACTCCGAGATTCTGGCTTTGATTCTGCAACAACTATACTCCGAAAGACATGTATCAATCCACTCAAGCACAATCAATAAATTTGAACATCCCTTTCTCTTCTATACAAGAACAATCATTGACCCATGTTACCGATTCCAAACTTTCTGAAGCCGGTGCAGTCCCTCCTACTTCAAAAGCCACAACTAGTATGATACCTAGTTTAGGTGAAGGAGGATCGGGTATTTTTGACAAGTATTGGTCAGATTTTGTTGATAGGGCTCATACAAGACATCCAAAGCTCTCCCGAGAACAAGTTGAATACATGGTGATTTCCATGCATAAACGAGCTATTAGGAGTCACCTTACTTTCACCTTTCCATCGAACGAAGAGACAGATCAAAAGATTTAACCGTTCATCTACTCTTTGAGGAAGACTCCGACTGTAGATGTTCCGAATTCTAACAACACAGTGGATGATTCTCCTTGGAATGAAGTTGTTGCCAGAGGAGTTGTTGCCAATTCCAAAAATGCTACAGATAATCCTCCTACTTTTACTAGTGTAGAAGTTCCTAAGCTTGATGTCAAATATGATCTTTTCGATGAGATCATGTTTAGAGATGACAATACTATTGTTTCTATTATTCTGGTTCCCATGACCTTTAATTTACTGCAAAAACCTTCTTCATCAAAACCATGCTTTGATTTTGGTCTCTCCTCGTCCTCTGAGTAATATGAAGAAGAAGAAAATCTTGAAGGGAACAAGCACTCCTCTCTTCCACCTGAAGGCACCTTGGAAGGTAAGCATGGTGACAAAACCCAAGGTGATCCAAGTGAGCCAAATGATGATCAAAATGAAGATGAATATGAAAAGAATTCTGAAAGTTCCACCTCGGACACAGGATCCTCCAATGAAAACGTTGTGGATCCTTTTTCCTTGTTTGAACTTAAAATCAAGTCTTTTTCCGAAGTACAAGTGGCTGCTCCCTCAGATCTTGACCGGAGTAATTAGTTAGACCAGCTTATCTCTCTTTTCTTGAGACCTACTCTCGAAGAAGCCAAGGAATGCTACAAGGCTAATTTAGATCATCATCTCGACACCATCAACACCATGCTCAAGATCCATGATGACATGATCTCTCCTACCAACGAACTTATCAAGCAAACTCATGTTCTTCATGAGAAGCAGAGTCAAAGACTTGAGAAAGAGATTCTTTAGAAAGATACCATGAATATGGTCATGCAAAAGGTACTCATCAAGCTCATCCGTTCAACCTGGCATATTGTGGATGTTCCTAACCACAAATTAGATGAGATGCTCGTCATTCTCGATGAAGCATTTACAAATCTCAAACCCCAATATCTGATAGACGAGGAATATGACGCACTCACCAAGCAACTCAATATGAGTTTTCAACAAGTGTTTGAATGATTAGACGAGATAAAGTCAGATTTTATGCTTGCATCGTAGGCTGGGCCTTCCTATACAAGAAGGGGAGAATAAAAGCAAGTGCAATGGAAACCGATATCAGATTATGCGCTCCACGATGAATCAATCAATGTAGAAATCATGGAAGTAGAAACTCCTAAAGTAGATGATGATGAAGATTTAGTCGAAGATGTGATTCTTGGACTACAAGCTATCAGGGAACCTCCTACCAAAGTCCTCTCTGAAGAAGAGGAGATGAAATGGTACCTAATCTCTTGGCCATCATCTTTATATGAAACTTTTCAGCGAAGCCAAGACATGGCTATCGTAAAAACCAAGCTAACAATCGACGCCTTCTGAGCCACTCAGTCAATGCTTCCTCAATTAGTGTTCCGAGGATTGTTCAAATCGATGAAGGTTTTTCCATCAGGAAACATGATGAGATCTTTGAAGAGCCTCTAATTCCTCCTCCATCCAAACTTTTCATCACTAAGACTATTCATCAAATCATCACCTCTATTTCTTCCCATGATGACCAAGCCAAAGACAAAGGAAAAAAGATTGCTACAAGTTCAGACATCCCAGTGAAGTCATTTAGAATGTTCGAGGGCTGGTTAAAGGAACAAATACAACAAGCATTGGAAGAAAGCATTCAGATTCAAGCTCTCAAAGATAATTCAAATCCAATGTTGGGCATTTTCCTCTCTTCTCAGAAGGAATTATTCATGATATACATTTTGTGCCCCTCATGTATTTTGATCTTCCAATTCAAGATAATGATCAACTGGATTTGTCAATCTCTCCTCATGGACGCTACTATATCAAGTTCACACTTCTTCACTAAAATGACGATCCTCAAACCATCATCTGAACTGAGCGTGAGAGATTGAGAACCTTATATTCAACCAACACACGACCCCAAAAGGAAGTGTGGTCTCAGAAAAGAATTACCAAGATCATTGGATATGGTAATAAGCCTCAAAGCAAGTTTGATCTCGACTATATTTGGTATAGATATTTCATATCTCATAAAAAAATCCACTATCACCATCATAGATGTGCATTTTTTTTATCCTAATAAAACCACGTTTACCTCTAGCATCACATCTCAATTGGAAAAACTCATAATTGTTATTCAAATCTCTAGTTGTACGTACGAATAAATTTCTACTAATACAAAAACGTTCTTCGAATATCGATAGATCATATAAACGGGGCAAATCATGTACCAAAAGTTCGTTTGTCGTGATACAATCCTGGTTGATCGAAGTTCTACGTTTCTTCTCGACATTTGAACTTCCGTCTCTCTCTCTGACGTATCATGTCGTGTGCTGCAGACATGTGTAAAACCAACTCATCAAAATCATCATCATTGGATGATGAAGAAGAAATTGAACCTAAAAAGTTATATATGCTGTTGAAAGTGTGTGTTTGTTAGATCTACAAATATGTGTAAGGATATGTATATATAGAGATATTTTTAAGTTTGAAAAAAAATAATTTTTTTTATTTGTTCCATCGGTTCCACAAAACGGTCAAAAGAAGCTAGTCAATCAAATGAATTGTTTTCATCCGTTTCCGTTGCCGCTCTACAACCAACCCACCAAAACTTGGGGCGATGTTCACAGTGTGCTTTAGTATGCCAACTAAGATTTCATCATGCTTTTCCTTACCATACTGGATAGCATGAACGAAGTTTAGTTTTTTTTTTTTTTTTTTTTTTTTTTTTTTTAAGTTTTTTCTTAACAGTTGTGTGTGGAACACATGTATAGAACAAAGAAATGTAGTTGGTTATTTAACTTTAGATTAGTAAATTAATTATATACATAATAAATACCAAAAAGTCACATCATGAAAGATTGACAAAGGGATTCTCGTATAACATATTGGGCTAACACTAACATGTTTTGAAAAGGAAAATTTAGGGGTTGGGGTGTTATGTGTTTGCCAACCAATGCTGCATCTTTATGTGCTGGTTCCTTTTGGGCATACAAGAAAGCTGCAAGCCTGTATTCTAATCTATTAATGCAATATTTATTTGTTAATAGAGAACAGTAAATCCGAGATATAAAATAACGTTTTTACTTCAATATAAACAAATAAATTAAGATATATATATGGTTACACATGGCCTCAAGTGCAGGTCAAGCTTCCTTTTGATATAAATCTATATTCCTTCGATGAACATAAGGATAAGGAAGAAGATTAATTCACTATTTATACATAATATTAATGTTGATGACGCCTTCAAAGATTCGATAGAAAGTCATTATGATGCAAAAAGGGTATCAAATTAAATTAATACATTTGGTGCCAAAAGATTTAGTCAATTATTTAATCTACTATTTTATTATTTTTTATTCTTTAAAAAAATATATATTTTAGCCACTTGGGAGCACTTCATTAGAATATGTTTACCAACTACAATTTTGAATTTAATACTTCTCATACGGTTTCTTTGACAGTGGCAAATCATTAACTTTTCTTTTTTCTATAAGTACTAAGCTAGTTGGCCATGCTAAGCAACACATTAGACGGAAATAATAATAATAATAATAATAATAATAATAATAATAATAATAATAATAATAATATAATATAATATAATATAATATAATATAATATAACTACTAGATGCCTGGGATCAAATAATTGCATCCACCCAAAGTCAATTAGTTAAATTTAATTTGAAGGCGTCATCAACGCGGGTTTTGTTGAATATTTGCTAGTGATTTTGTATAGAGTTATTTAATATAGTGATGGGATAAAGGAAAAAGAATGATGTCACATCATTACTCGGACATGGTACCAATCTTAAAGTTTGTTTTAATCGCTTATAGTAGTGTCAAATTCGAGCTTGAAGTTTTTATAGAAAACTCCGAAATGTTCACTATTATAAAATCGACTATTAACATGTGAGTATTAGTTAGGGATGATAATTAGACGAGTATTTGTGAATCCAATTACAAATTTTTATATTGAATCTATCTCTCGTTCAATGTAGCACCCAGTTAGTAAATAATTATAAGGTTTGTACTTGTAGATACATGGGAAAATGATATATAGGTCCTACGAATTTTCTAGGGTTTATCCTTTTAGACCTTAAACAATTTTTGTAGCATTATCAGGGCACGAAATTGTTTTTGCCGGGTCGATTACATCCTTTTGGCCAAAGTGAAGGGGTCAGCCGGTTACTTCTTTGACACAATAACATTTGTTGACCAATTTTCTTATATTGACTTTGAATTTTCCCATACTCTCTCTCTCTCTCTCTCTCTCTCTCTCTCTCTCTCTCTCTCTCTCTCTCTCTCTCTCTCTCTCTCTCTCTGAAACCCACATGCAAATAGAGGTCTTGTACTCTTGCTATAACTAGCATCGTATCAACAAATAAGGGGATTAAGTTTTTTGTTTAATCATTGACCACCGTTTGTATGTATTCTTTTTGAATCGCTTGAGACCAATTGTGTGGGTTTGTATGTATTCTCAAAGAACAGAGGTGTTGTGGTTCCCCAAAAACTTCAAAAAATCAAAAGAAAAACTTCACGCTTTTCTGAATCGTTCACCCAGAAGGCCAGATCTTGAAATCTGATTCACAACAGGTGTGGTGATGGTTGGTGTTAGTGTCTGCCTAGAAACGAAATTGAAATTGTGTGTGCCCAAAAATGAAATCGAAAACAATTACTCTAAAACCAGTCCAGAAACTCGATGAGGTGCCATTTGCTTGGTTCCTAAGCTCCGGTAACCAAAACAACAAAGTCGATCGGAAATTTACATCATCCCATCATGAATCGCAATTGTTTCAGTTATACCTAGGAAGTCCGGTAAAGGACAACTCATATCATCCGGTTCCGATGTCTCTAACTATGACACCTCCTCTTTGTTCCCAGATAAAGGCCCTGTTGTACTATACTGAAGCAAAGTTATGGCCTCGAGGATGGTAATCACAACAAGAATCTGGAAGTACGACACCTAATTCTACCAAAAAAATGAGCGACGAGAGAAGTTTTTTTGGGGATTTCACTATATATTCCGAATTTCTGAATGTTTTCTTCAAAATCGCCATCAGCTCTAGCAGATTCATGACGAGATGGAGTGCAAGCTTTAAATTTTGCTCGAGTAATGATTTATATGGAGTTTATGTGTGTTTGATTAGCATATAGATCTAGATAGTTCAGTTTATAGTCTATCGTTGAGAGAGAGAGAGAGAGGTGGGCCCCAAGTTTTGTCAATAAAACCGGGGAAAAGATGTGAAAATGGCTAAATAAACAGGTTCCCCTTACTTGGTTCCCTTATTAGCCAAAAAATAAGTTAAGTGGCTAAAAAGGTAAACTGTAAAAACATTATAGGGTCTATATGTCATTTTCCCTAGATATATCTACACGTATCGAATATCACCTTTATGATCTTAATATATTAAAATTACCCCTTACCGTTTTCATTACATAAATCTAATCACAATCGCAATCGAAAAATGTCTTGAATACTTTTAGTAATGATAATTACTAACAACATTAACAAGTTTAAGCTCTAACTAATACTACATAAATACAATCATCACCACATATAATACAAGCTCTAACTAA